TTATGTCAGTCTAGATTTTACCGTATCGTTGACTATCTTCTCGATTAACTTTTTTCTATTTTGGTGTCTTATTCGCTGTATCCCAATCAAATTTATACACGTCATTCTAATTCATAGGTGTCAAAACCTTATTGGAACAAAGGTTTTTTGTCTTGTTTAGTTTTCCAATTACAATAATTCCTGCTCCCGCTCACATGCCGTTTGGGTAATGGTGGGGTGCGGGGGTGATTATTTAAAGAAAAAAATTACCCCACCCTGCCATGTAACGTTAGCAGGGCAGTACAGACAGCAAGATTGTTCCAATTAATAACGCCATTAAGTCAGCCTCGCCGTGGAAAAATTGTAGCAGCGATCCTAAACTTTTTTTAATTTTTTAAAAATTTATTTTAATATTCAATTTGTGTCAATGAATGTCCCTAATTTTTCATAAATATGCACTTAGAGTTCAACTGGATGAAAATCATCCATTTGACCGTTAGTTGATCAAGAAAAGTGAACTTGGACCAACTTTGATCAAATTAAATGCAGTAAAATGATAACTTTGCTTATTTTTCAAATATTGACAATTAAAATAATAAAACTAAAAACAAAAAATAAAATAAATTTGCCCCACTCCACCTTTTTCTTCTCCATTTCTCTACCACTGCCTCTGCCAATCATCTTCTCCTCCACTTGCACTTTATTACAAAATGAAGATATGAATGAAGAAGAATAATGAGGCTATTGCAGCACGTAAATGGAGAAGAAGAAAATGATCATTGTATTCTCAAATGCTTGCAATTACAGTATATATAACAGAATAAAAAAATAGAATAAATGTTATACATGTTGCCTAACAGAATTTTCTTCTACACTCTTCTTCAACCGGTATCCATAGTATATTCCTTATGCAACTTGCTGGGTCTCTCATCTTCTAGAATGTTTTGCCGTTGACATGGCTTGAGGTGGGGTTGCTGACCTGTTTTATCCAAGTGGCATTTCATTTTCTCTTCATACTTCAACATCCCCCCGCAAGATGGAGAGTAGATATCTTCTGCTCCCATCTTGGCCAGATGAGAATAAAAACTAGGTGAACTTAATGCCTTGGTAAGAATATTAGCAACTTGAGCACTGGTCTTTACATGTTCAGTCACTATACTTCCTTCTTGAACTTTGTCTCGTACAAATGACAATCAAGCTCTATGTGTTTAGTTCTTTCGTGAAAAACGGGATTTCCAGCATTATGGATTGCTGACTTACTATCACAATACAAAGGTGCTGCTTGTGGGTGGCATACTGTCAAATCTTTGAGTAAGAATTGTAACCATGTTAGCTCACAACAAGTGCTTGCCATGGCCCTATATTCATCCTCTGCTGAGGATCTAGAAACTGTTTGCTGTTTCTTTGATTTCCAGGAGATTAAGGAAGATCCTAAGAAAACACAATAGCCTGTAATGGATCTTCTGTGTCAGGACATGATCCCCAATCAGAGTCAATGTATGCTTGAAGTTGCAGCATTGATGAGGCTGGATAGAATAGACCTTGACCTGGACTTCTCTTAATGTAACGAAGTACATTGTGTGTTGCATTAATATGTGGAATTTTGGGTTCATCCATGTATTGGCTTAAGAGTTGGACAGCATAAGATATGTCAGGTCTGGTTACGGTTAAGTAGAGAAGTCTTCCGATTAGCCTTCTGTTTATGGATGGATTTTTGAGCAATTCACCTTGGTATTTGAATAGCTTCATATTCTGGTCCAAAGGAATTTTTGCTGGCGTGGCTCCAATTGTGCCTGAATCTCTCAATATGTCTAGGGCATACTTCCTTTGACGAAGCACGATTCCTTCTTTTCTTCTTGCTATCTCAATGCCAAGGAAATACTTCAATGTTCCCAGATCTTTGATTTTGAAGTTTTCATCCAGCAACAATTTCAGGGAGTTGACTGATTGCATATCATTGCTGGCCACAATGATGTCATCCACATATACTAAAATGGCAGTGAATAAGTTCCCTTGAGACTTGGTGAATAGGCTATAATCTGCTTTTGACTGGACAAATCCAAGACCTATGATGAAGGTTGACAATTTTGAGTACCATTGCCGTGAGGCCTGTTTTAGGCCATATAGAACGCAATTTGCAGACCCTAGGCTGAGATGCCTTCGAATAGCCTGGTGGCAATTCCATGTACACCTCTTCATTAAGATCTCCATGTAGGAATGCGTTATTTACGTCAAATTGGCATGGGGACCATCCTTTGATGGCTGCCACGGCTAGTAAAGTTCTGACAGTAACCATTTTTGCAACTGGGGGAAAAGGTCTCATGGAAGTCTAGTCCTTCCTGTTGTGTGTATCCTTTGACGACTAGTCGTGCCTTATGTCTTTCAATAGACCCATCTGAATTATATTTGATTTTGAAAACCCATTTACACCTATGGCTGATTTCCCATCTGGTAAATCAGTGATAATCCATGTGTTATTTTGCTCCAGTGCATCAATCTCATTTTGCATTACCTTGCACCATTCTGGGGACTTTAATGCGTCATTGTAACTGTTTGGCTCTATGTGGGAAGTGATAGATGTGGTGAAAGCTTTGTGTGCATGTGAAAATTTATGATAGGAAATAGTTGCTTCAAGTGGGAAAGGATTACCTGGAGCTGGTTGAACCTTTTGCCCTTCAAACTCTTGGAATAGGATAGATGAGCTGGCCTGCTGGCATACGAAATTTTGCAAGTATGGCGGAAATTTTCTGGTTCTGGTAGATCTTCTAGGTAGGTGAGGACTTGTATTTATGGATGGTGAGGTGATATTTTCAGATTCGTTTAAAGGATTTTCTGAACTTGAGTTATCTGGGAAGATTGTAAAACTGGAATTTTTTGTTGGTGATGTGATGATGTTTGATGGTAGATCATTTAGTGGCCCATTGCTTTTGTTGTAAGATTGTAGAAGTTCTAAATCTTGAGGTTCAACCACATGATAATGGTTTATGGCTGGTGTTTGGATAAAGGGCAAGTTTGATGGATCAAGTAATGCATTAGTTTTTGACTGATCTATAGCCTTGCAAGGGAAAATGTTTTCATAGAATGTGACATTTCTAGAAATAAAGATCTTGTTAGTTCCTAAATCCAGCAGCTTATAACCTTTCATTCCAAATGGATACCCCAAGAAAATACATTGTTTGGCTTTTGGATCAAATTTGTGTCTATTGTGAGTGAGGGTAGTGGCAAATGCCAGGCATCCAACAACTTTAAGGTGGGAATAGTTTGCTTTCTTGTTGAGGAGAATTTTAAAAGGTGTTTTGTGTTTTGGGAGGGGTGAGGGAGTCCTGTTTATGAGGTATACGGCAGTGAGTACATAGTCATTCCAATATTTCATGGGAATTTCACTTTGAAACCTTAAGGCCCTTGCCACATTGAGAATATGTTGATGCTTCCTCTCCACTACAGAGTTTTGTTGTGGAGTTTCAACACACGATTTTTGATGCACAATTCCTTTTTCAAGATAGAATTCTTTCATGTTAAATTCCCCTCCATTGTCACTTCTAATTGTCTTGATTTTGGCTTCAAACTGATTTTCAATCATTTTACAGAACCTTTGCAAAGTAACACCAACATCAGATTTGCATTTCAAGGTATATATCCAAGTGCATTTACTGTAGTCTTCTACTATTGTTAAAAAATATTTTGAGCCATCATAAGCTACTTCATTACACGGTCCCCAAAGATCACAATGAACTAAATCAAAATATTTTGCTGACTGATATTGACTAGAAGGAAAAGGGGGTTTGTGCATTTTGGCTAAAGGACAGATCATACAAGGCTTGCTGTTATTTGTGGAGATCTGATTGCTATTTAAGGATATAAGAATGTTGAATGAAGGGTGTCCTAATCTGTAGTGCCATAGATCGAACTCTTCATTGTGTGTGACAGCTGCTGTGATGGTTTTGGTGTTGCTTACAATGTCAAAGAATGCTGATGGTGAAGTTTCCTGTTGTTGGAGATGGTACAGACCATGCCGCACCTTACCCATCCCAATCGTTTTCCAGGTTAAAAGGTCCTGTATAAAGCAAAAGTGAGACAGAAAAATAAGACAGCAATTCAAATTGGTTGCTAGTTTTCTAGCTGAAATCAAATTAAAAGAGAAGGATGGGACACAAAGTACATCATGCAGGATTAACTTTTCTGAAATTTGTACTGTGCCTATATGAGTGACAGTAACACCATTCCCATTAGGGAGTGTGACTGAGTGGGAAACCTGTGCCACAATGTTAGTGAAGAAGGAAATGTCACAGATCATATGATCTGTGGCACCTGTGTCTATGATCCAAGGTATTATAGCTTGTGTCTTGGATTTTGATGCAAACGCAGAGAGACATAAAGATATACCAGAAACATTAGGCATTTGATCCTCAGTAGTGCAAGGAGTAATGATTGAACAAACTTGGCTTGCCAAATGAGTTGATGGTGAAACACTCTGCTTGTTGAGAAGTGCTATGAGCTGAGTGTATTGCTCTTGCGTAATGGGAGAATGAGCACTCCTGGTCACCTGATTTACAGAATGATTGGGGGGTTTAACTTTGTTGTAGAGTTTGTGTCCTTGGGGGTATCCATGGATTTTGAAGCATTTGTCTATTCTATGACCAGGAAAGTTACAGTGGGAACACATTGGTATCTTAGGATTAGCCTTGTGGCATCTTTCCAGTGAGTGCCCTGCAATTTAAAAATGAGTGTAAAAATACTTAGCATTTCGATTAGTTGAGTGCTGATTTCCATTTCGAATTCCACGAGTCATCATTGCCATGGAGTCATTGGTTGGAGAGTCCATTGAAATCTGCCTTCTCTTTTCTTCTTGTTGTATAATAGAATATACTTCATTGAGATCAGGCAAAGGTTTGATTAGAAGAATTTGAGCTTTAATATCCTTATAAGATTCGTTCAGGTCCATAAGAAATCTCATGACCCAATCCCTTTTCTGATTATCAACAACAGTGCGAAGTCCTCCACAAGTGCAATCAGGTATGGATTCATAATTCATCAAGGAGAGTTTTGTATTTCGAAAAGTAAACGCTCACAGCATCTTGGTTTTGCATTAAGTTGCTGATGGCTTGTTTTACCTCATAAATTCGTGGGGCATTTTGTTGAGCCAATCGATGTTCTAGTTCCAGCCATAGCTCTCTAGCGGTTTTTGCATAAAGAGTGCAGGATTTTACTTCAATAGACATGGTGTTTTGTAGCCAGGCTATCACAAGATCATTGCAGCGGAGCCAGTGTTCTATCAGAAAGCTAGTAGGGTCTGGCTGTGTTAGGCTTCCATCAATGAACCCAAGTTTGTTTTTAATTCTGAGGGCCCTCTTCATAGATCTTGCCCATGCATAGTAGTTGGTGTTATCAAGTACATGAGTGACCAATATTGTCCCAGAGCTATCACTTCCACTTATATAGTATGGACTGTGGGGATGAGCAGGGTCATCAGGATTTGGTGTGGAGTACGTGTTCTGGTATTGTTGAGGATTTGGATTGAGTTTTTGATGTGCAGTAGATTGGGAATTTGGATTGAGGTCTTCATGCGTGGCAGATTGGGTATCTGTGCTGTGATTTTCAGCCATTGTTATGGCTCTGATACCATATTACAAAATGAAGAAGAATAATGAGGCCATTGCAGCACGTAAATGGAGAAGAAAATGATTATTGTATTCTCAAATGCTTGCAATTACAGTATATATAACAGAATAAATGTTATACATGTAGCCTAATAGAATTTTCTTCTACACTCTTCTTCAACCGGTATCCACAGTATATTCCTTATGCAACTTGCTGGGTCTCTCATCTTCTAGAATGTTTTGCTGTTGACATGGCTTGAGGTGGGGTTGCTGACCTGTTTTATCCAAGTGGCATTTCATTTTCTCTTCATACTCAACACACGTAAACCATCTACCATCTTCAAAATTACCTTTCAAATCTTTAAAACCCATTCCCAAATGAATCATTGTAAAGCCATATTCACACTCCTTTAAAATGAAAGAAACAAAAGAAAATTCCCAAAAGAAAAAGAAAAAGAAAAATTCTTACTGAAAGATATGTCCAATTAATTACTGTGAAAATGTTAAATCCAAACTTGACTTAAGTTGGCACAAAGAATTCAGAGTTTGAGCATCAATTTCTTTCGATTTTTTTCTTTATCAATTTTGATTTTCAACTTTTGATCTCCTCTTGCTACCACAGCTTCATTTTTTAGGAATTTAGTCATAGCTTTATTTTTGTGAGATCTTGCACCTTCCTACAAATACACTCCAATTTGTAGCCGGCAAGGTAATAAGATGAATTTAACGTGTTTCAGTTTTTAACTTAATTTAATTCGACCAAGCTTAAATTATTGATTTGTCTTTACTCTGATTTTCTAAGCTTTGGACATCGATTTGATTTCAAAAGGAAAATTTTTTCTGGAGTTTTGCTAAAAAGTGCTAAACTGCTATTTTATTACGCAGAATTAGCTACTTCTGATAGGGGCGGATTTTCATTTCCTCCCTTTTTCTGGGTATGTTTTGAATTTGAGGGTAGATTTATTTTATTTCATTTCATTTTATTTTTTGTTTTTAGTCTTATTATTTTTATTGTCAATATTTGAAAATAAGCAAAGTTACTATTTTACCCATTTTAATTTGGTTCAAGTTCACTTTTCTTGGTCATCTAGATGATTTCCATTCAGTTGGAATTCAGGTGCATATTTATGAAAGGTTTGAGACTTTCGCTAGTTCAAATTGAAGGTTAAGGTAAAATCTGCAAAAATTGAAAAGGTTAGAGATCACTGCTTCAATTTTCCCAAAGCCTGAAACTCCCGTTTTATTATCACTGTTTGATTCCATTAAAATTATAATTCATTTTTCCTTCTTTTCTTATCAATCACACATTCTCCAATAAAATGATGTTACATATAAATTCAAAATGTTTTTTTTTTTAACCATACATTTTTTTAAAAAACATTATTCCAATAACTATAATCTCCAATAATGGGGGGCCAAACGAGGGCTAATAATACTCCTTTCGTACTTTCATTTTCACATATATTATATAGGGTTTGTCTGATACTGATTTTGAGAATTGATCTTTTGATCGTTGAAAAGAAAATTAGGTCTTATCTGTGAGAGAAGAAGTAAAAAATGATAATTTGAATAGTGATATAACGATCAAAAAATTGATTTTTTTAAGTGAAAAATCAATACTTTGCACATGTTTTAAAATATAAATTTTATTTATGTTTTTCCTAACACACCCTTCCAATAAGGGTGCGTTTGATTGCTAATGTTTTTAATTAAAAATGTCATTTTTCACCAAATTTTTACTTTTGTACTATTTTGTTGATATTTTTTACATGAAAAATATTTTCCTACTTTTAATTACATAATCACAATTTCCTTGAAAAACAAGGAAAATATTTTCTATAGGAGAATAAGTTTTTAATTTTCAAGTAATTCTATCTTTCTCTCTCATCTATCCACCAATAAAAATGGACAAATATAACATTTTTTAGGTTGAAAATTAACTCAATTAAACACATTTAATTGACAATTTTCATACAACTAAGTTCTAAGAAATTTAATAGCTTAAAATTTATTTTCTTTCCATATAAATTTCATATTTATAATCAGATATACCCTAAATGGTGGTTTAAACAAGTTAATATTTCGTGCCCATCTGAATTTGAGCCTGAATATGTAGCATGATTATACATGTCAATTGTGGTTTATTTTCTCATATATTGAGTTAATGTAAAGGATTTCATTGAAACTTTATGAGGGTGTGCTTCGAATGTAGGTTGATTTTATGGTTTATTAGAATATGAATGTCCATTGTAGTTTATTAGAATATACATGACCATTATAGGTTTAGCAATGTAAGTTGAATTTATAGATTGATATATTGTTTTAATTTGTTGATTCATAGCTTAAGTAATGTGATTCATTCATTGGTTCATTCAATGATAATGAGATCTATTCTATGATTGATTCAATTTATTGCAATGTAGTTCATTATATGGTCATTGTGGATCGAAACATTCGATTCATGTTCGCATCTGAAGAGTTTCTTTAAAGTATAGATGGAACATTTGTCGAGAAAATCTATCAATATTCTCGACAGATGGTTACTGAATTTCTCGTCAATTTGAATGAATTACTTGAAAGTCACAATAAAATGAAAATGTGTTTGAGTTGCTTTAATATGTGTTGTATGAATTCATTGCATGTTAAATCATTCTCTAAAATTGAAATTTTTAATGTTAATTGAGTTGTAGATGGATTTCGAACTCCCTACATTAGGAGTAGCCGGAAAAGAGGGAAGAATAGTACGTAATAGAATTTCGTTAATTATGCATTACTTTTGGACTTATAATTTGTTGTATTATTTTTGAAATCATATCATAATGTGTACGTCGAACAACTTAGTTTTATGTTCATTTAGTTCATATTCATAGGTGAAAAGACATTTTTATTATGAGCAGGTTGTACAGTCGAGATATCATTTGTACGGAAACGTTTGTAAATAAGTTAGATGATCAACAATACTACCACTAATGCCATATTGAAATGTGATATCAATTAAAGAAAACGAATTATTGAAATATGTCGATAAAAAGGTCACACCAAATGAATGTATGATTAATGAAATTGACCCCAAAAAAAAAAGTTGATAAATGGAACACAATAATTGCAAATAGTTGTGTACTATAATACATTGAAACAATTTTGAGGTTTAGTCTTTCATCGTGAGCCTCCAACTTCTAACATATTTCTACACTTCATCTAAAAGAACAATTTACATACAAATTTGTAGAATATTACCATATCCCTTCTTGAATACCAATTTGTTCAACATCGTAATTGATTCAGATGATAATGTTGTAGATCAATCTAGTAGTCAGAAATCCTTTCACCGGTTCATTTCCCGAACTTGAACGAGGTTTCATTCCCATCATCTCCATTATTGAATGAGGAAGTTGATGACTTGTTTGCCTACTTGATCCCTTACGAAGACAGTTTATGTAATGATGACTACATTTCAAATGTCCCATCATTTGATATTATTGGCATTAGTTTCGATGATAAGATAGAAGATAATGGTAGTGACATATCAAATATAGATGACGCTTCATGTAGATGAAGGGTGTTTAACATGATCCAATATATTCAATTTATGTTATATTATTAATGTAAACCAAAAAATTATGTCCAATAATTGGCTCGGATTGGTATAGTTTATTACACCCAGCCATACTGTTGAAAAAAGTCAATGAAAACTATTGAGACCTACAGTTTAACTGTCTGGACTGAATACATCATATTATTTTTGAAAGACTATGGAATGATTTTTGTAACAAATTAAATGTGCAATTATTTATAGCAGACCTACAGTAAAACATCGATCGTATGACAAGTGTTGCTAAAGTCATATTACCTAGAATTACGATTGAAGTGATTGTGTTCCCTCGCCACTTCATTCATCATCTACGTGCACAAATGTTTCCTACACAACATGATGAATCTCAAATTATCACTTATACTTGAAATTAAGCAAATAAAATGGTAATCATTCTGCACAAAATTAATATATCGCACTTTAAATGCATACTTGAGGCACTTACGAATAAATCCTACCGAACAATTGCAAACTAATTAGATGAAAAGTTATAATATCTATCTCTACAGTTAAGAAATGTTGAAATTGATATGTTAACTGTCGATCTTGATAGTTAACATCTGACGAGATCGCATTTAAGGTGTATAATGGAAAAAAATTATTGATGAAGTAATAAATATGTTTATCAGTGCTCAACTACCAAACGATCAAATTCCAACAAAAAATTTACACAATACTATATTAAATAAGGAATATTCCAAAAAATTTTATGCTTCGAATGCAACTTTTTTCCTATAATCATTATCTTATAATATGTAGGGACAGTTTGAGTCCCATTATTTTCTAATAATGTATTTTGTAATAATAGATTGATGAAGAATGTATGGTTAAAAAATAAGGAAAAGTTTTGGGTTTGTATATAATATTATTTTATTGACAAATATGTAGTTAAAAAGAAGAGAAAAATATATATTTGAAAAGAATGGAGATCAAACAAGGGCTTAATGAATTATTTTTTATGCATACACCAATGTTTTAAAAACTGAACCTCACCGGCTAGTTCAATCTGGAAAACTAGGAATAGAGACCAAAATCGATCAAGTTAGACTCATAAAACCTCTAATTAAAAACTCGCTCCAAAACTCGTTAAATTGATCGATTTTTGAAAAATCCGTAACCTATTCCCGGTTTAACCAATTCAACCTAAGTAAATGTATATTTATTAAAATTTTAAAATGTATATTTTTTTAACTTTACACAGATATATTTTTAAATTTTTTTAAAATTCAACGGTTCAATCCCAGTTCAACCTTTTGACTCTTAATCCTTTTTTTTTTTTTTTTTTTTTTTGGGATTTATGGCCAGATCAGTTTTTAGAACATTAGCACGCACGTATAGTTACGAATTCGTTCATATACTAATTTTTAGGGTTTGTTTGGCTAGACTTTTGAAAAGCCAAACTGTTTTTAGATTAAAAACTTGTTTTTTGAACTTAGTTAATTTTTTTTTTTTTAATGCTTCGTCTGGCTAAAATAGAATTTTAAAAAATTAATCTAAAGTAACTTTTTCAAAAATAAATCCTTCTACGGGAAATCTATCAAACGAGCCTGAGTACTTCTTGGACTAAAATGATCACTTATTCAAAGAGTGATGTTAGACTGGTGTGGATACGAATTTGACTTTTCCATATAGTGTCAGACCAATTATTGATTGCTAGAAGCCGTCGGACATACTCCAGTGGTGCAAAAAATAGGAGTGAAGTTATCTCACATCTTGTTGACAGCCGCAGTGTGGAGGTTCGATTCCTGATATATGAAATTGAACTCCTTGTAGGGACAGTGTATAGGCAACTCTTGTTCGCTGGCTTGTTGGGGTACATCTCACTATTTACCTTCCTCACAAAACTCAAGGGACGGGACGGTGGGGCCCTCAAAGTTGGGGTTCAACCTTTTTTTTTTTTTTAAAAAAAAGAGAAATGTATGATGTAATTCTCTTAATTTATGTTCAATTTAACGTAATATATGCATTAAAACACTGAAAAAAATAATAATAATAATAATGATTGCATTAATAGGAACACCATATAGTCCCATCCATGTCAATATTTTTTTTAATTTCTACCATTAAAATCTTTGTAAAGGAGAAAGATGCCTAAACTCTTTGTTAAGATTTAACGTTCCAAAATTTTTTTTGTCTTAATAAAATTTGACACTTGAACATATCGTATTTGTTAAACAAATAGAAATGTGTCGAGTTTCAAAAAAATAAGTTGGGGGTATTCCCATTTATTAAATATATGGTGTGTCAATGTCTCCAAAATATTGAAGGGTTCTACTACTCATACATCAAGCTGTCAGCCCACCTCACAAAAGGGGAGCCCGCGATTTGTGAGGAGGACTGTCAAGTTCGGTATACAACCATCAAATTTCAATATTGAAAGGATAATTAAGGAAAAAACAAGTTCGGAATATCATTATTTTACAAATAAGTTTACCTACAAATGTATAAGTACTTTATGAATAAACTTTTTTTTACATGCAAAGTTAACAATTAATAAGCTGCTTATTAAAAATAAATAGTATTTTCATGCATTCACACACGAGAGAGAGAGA